GGGGGGGAGTTCAAATTCCACCACCTTAACGGGTCGATACTTGTAAGGTCGCTCGATAAAGAAACGGTTCAAGCTGGCAGACTCCTCTGCGGCCAAGCGTTGTTATCTATGTGGGGCTTCAACCTTGAAAAAGAGGGCCTCAGGCACAAGCTTCGATGAAACCTCATGATCAAATCATTACTTGTTAACCCCTTCTTAAGCTTCCGGCAGGTCATATAGGGGAAGCGAATAAAGCGTGCAAGGCGTGAACCAAGAACTTCCCTACGGTCTTCCAACTTTGGGGTATTGAGCCCTAGCCCACTTCAACACAAAGTCATACAGCATCTTCTGATGCAATTTGCAGATCATACTGGACAATATTGCCTTGATCCCAGCTAGTGGCAAAGCCATTACCTCTTCTTGGAGCCTGGTAAAATGCGCTCCAAAAGAATAAGCACCTAAATATGCATTATTTCTACTTGACTATGGCCTAAAGAATAAGAAGGGCAGAACGGGAAAGGGAAAGGAGAACAAAATTTACACTGCTAGGACAGTTCTCTTGTCATTAGCATCACCTTTCCTCCTATCCTTAAGCTTTCCTAAGACTATAGTATTAAAGTTTTTTTTTTTTTTGAAAATGAACGTTAAAGCCAGTTGTCCATGTTAATAATGCAAAATTTCAGAACAAGTGGATCCGAGGAGCCCAAAAGAATATTGCTAGGACTATGTAAGATGGAGACTGGAAACTTATCAGATTTCAGTCATACGGGCAGTTCAAACTACAAAGTACATTAGTTTTTTTTGCATTTGCAGCGAGGATTTGTTTGAACTAATTTTTCATTTTTTAAAAAATTTCATTTGTTTGGATTTCTGGTAGTGTGGTCTCAATTTATCTGTACAAAGCTGTTGCTCCGTCAACTCCATCGCTAAAATTATAATACACCATCATCTACGTTTCTCTCTCACTTACCCTTATCGTTGTTTATGTTTTAGTTTTTTTTTTTTTTTTAAAGAATCACCCAAATTTCTATTCTATATTTTATTAAATCTTTCGACTATTAAAAATTACAAAAGCATCTTCCGACTATAGATCATTATTTTGTTAAGTCCTTTAACTTTCAAAAGTTACAGAATGATCGTTCGACTATTCATTAAGTTCTCAACTCGTCATTTTTGTTAAAAATCGATGATTGTTTAAGTTGGACGTTAACATGATTGGATATGATAGTCGTTTGAGATTCTATGATCAGATTTTATCATATCACAGTCAAGAGGTTAACATTAAACTCAAAATACCGAGCACATTTTAATGGAAAAGGACAAGTCCGAAATAGAATGAATAGTAGGGTGACAATTTTGTAACTTTTAATAGCCGATGGACTTAACAAAACAACACTCTATAGTCGGATGATCATTTTATAACTTTTAATAATGAGAGACTTAATAAAGTAATATCCTATTGTCGGAAGTCCATTTTATGTACTTTATAATTTTCATCAATCAACTTTAATAAAAGTGTACATATTAAATCCGTTATTGTTCTTGTAGTTGTCTATCTTTTTTACTTTTAACCTCAAAGAATCTTGATTTGTCAGTCCTCTAAGGTTGTTTATATTTTAGATTACATTGTAGGTTTTTTGGAATTTTACAAATAAATAATTAAGGGTAAATATGTTAAGATAATATTGGGAATTTTTTTGAATGTATAGGATGAATAAACCGTTGAAGCATTAAGGGTTAATGGATTACAAGAAAATACACAGAAATTGTAAGGTATGATTAAAAGAAACATAACATGGGAAAGTCCAACTTAGAATCATAGGAGATGGTAGTTGAAGAATGGATAGAACAGCCACATAATAAGACACGACCAATAAAGACACATAAAAGGGTAATTTCTTTAACATTCGGTGGTCAAAGAATCCTCACGCTACGCTATAGCTTGACAAATTAGCACCATTTTAAAACCCTTGTCGATCAATAATTCACTTGCTCCGGCTGCATGTTGACAAAAAGGCAAGTTATTTTTACGACATAAGCACAAAGCTCGACCAGCAACACAATGAGGGGGAGGCAATCTTTACCTGAGAAAACTAGAGGTATCCATGAACCAGCAGATACGTACACCATCTCATTTCCTCGTTTTGGGCCCATGGCAACTCCCTTTTTGAAACATTAATGGAATCTGAACAGGGAGTGTGTATCTATGAACCACAAATTGAGTTGAAAATAGGGGGAGCGTTGGACTTTAGAAAGAGCTTATGGGGAAATGGAGCTCCCTTCACTCCAATACCAAAAATATGAAGGCAAGCCACGTCTCCTAGCTCATGCAAACCCTTAGCCTGCGTGGGCATGGCAGTGCAGGGCAGGGGTATCCATGAGATAGCAGCCGTAGCCATTGTGCCGACACCATATTTCAGCGTTGAAGTGTGGAGAGCTCCATTCAGCTCTACCCAAACCCAGCTCTCCCATGGGGTGGACATTAGTGCTCGATCCCTTTATAGGTCTACAATTGTGCTATAATATCTGGCGTATTTAATTTCATAGATGTACAAAATCTACTTGGATTTTTTCCCTTTTTTCTCGGTCAAAAGTTGCATCTCATTCATGTCAAGAAATTACCCTTTTAACCACATGATAATTCACTTTTTTCCGTATCACCAAAGCTAAAGTTATTTTTTACCAATAATAATAAAAGTTTTTTATTTAACTAATAATAATAAGGCTTAAATGTGTCATTGCTCCCTAAACTTTATCATTTGTACCGAGTTATCATTTCAAGTATTTTTTTTAAGGATGTTTTACCTTTAAAGTTTAAATTGTTATTTTATTTGTCCCAATATATTAATTCTGTTAAAAAAACACGTGAGTAAATTATATATTTAGTTACTTAACTATTCATGTGGATCTATTTTGGTTTATTATTTTTGTTTTCAAAATCATCATTAAACTTAAGTTTTTGTTTCGTTTTGATCACTCAGTTCGATTATATTTTATTTTTTAAATTTATAATGTATAAGAATTCATTTATATCACATATTTTTTTACTCGAAACATAAATTTAATGTATAATAATAAACAATATTATAATGAAAATAATATACAACATATTTAATTATTTGTACTTAAAATTTTAATATTAAATGTTAAATTAAAATATCATAAATATTTTAAGAAATTAAAATATGTACGAGCCATTATTTATAAATTTAAATCGTACATTTTTTTAAGAAATATGCAGATCATTCAAAATCAATACCAAAATATATTTTTAATTAAAAAAAGAAACAAAGACAATTTTAAGTACGAGACTTAAAATTTGACAAGATATTTTAATTTATGATTTTTTTTTAAATAAATTAAGTCTCGTACTTAAAATTATGTCTCATGTTTAATTGCATTCAAAATCATTTTATATACTTTTATTTCTATCAACTATATTTTTATGATTAAATTATTTTTTTTTGAAAAATCTATACTATTATAACGTGGTCTAGTAAAGTAAGGTGTTATGAATTGAGTGACACTAACTCGGTTGGCTAAAGCATAATTTAAACATATGAAAAAGAAAAGCACATCCAAAATGTTGTCTTAATGAAAATAATAAAGTGCTTAAAAGGAAGTAAATAAACTGTGCCTGAAGATACATCCCTTCGAACAGTTTTTTTTTTGTTGAAATTTTTAAGTACGAGACATGATTTCAAGTGCAATATTTAAAATTTTATAAAAATTTAAAAAAAACAAAGATATAAACTTAATTTATGATATTTTAATTTAACATTTTATAATTTTTATTAAAATTTTAAGTACAAGCAATTAAATATGTTGTTTATTATTTACGCTATAATATTATTTATTACTATACACTAAATTTATGTGTTGAGTAAAACAATATGTGATATAAATGAATTTTTATATATTGTAAATTTTAAAACTAATTCTAATTTAATTGGGTGATTAAATCGGAAAAAAAAAACTTAAGTTTAATGATGATTTTGAAAACAAAAATAATTGGCTGATCAAAATAAAATCACATGAATAGTTGAGTGATTAAATATGTAATTTGCCCACGTTTTTTTAACGGAGTTAACAGATTATGACAAATGAGATAATGATTTAAACTTTAGGGAGCAGAACTCTCAAAAAATACTTTAGATGACATCTCGATACAAACGGTATGATTTAGGGGGCAATGTTGCATTTAAGCCTAATAGTAATGGTTAATTTTATCGAGTAAAGACTAAAAAGGGAATATGATCAATTAATAACCGGGTACCGATTATATATATATAATAATAATGCTATCGGAAGATTTTATAAAACTTATCTTAGACTATTAACTGATTTTTTAAGCACCATAAAGTATAAATTAGTAATTAAAGAGAAATAGTATTATACAAGGAATAACTAAAAACATAATCAAAGAATTCAGGAAAATGATTGATACAAATAAATATTATTATCGACAATAAAGAATAAACATTATTAATATTAACGTAAAAATGTACGTAACTGTTATGGTGCGTTGATAAATTGAAATCAAATTTAATAGTAATTTATCTTTTGCTGGACTCGGACGCAAAAGGAACCTGGGTTCTCTCATTTTTTTTCTGCACCACCACCCACAGTTTTAAGCGTTTTTAATTATGATTGTATGTATCAGAAAATAGACCGGTCCACTAGATCCTAATGGCTTCTCTTGTAACCAAAAATAGAATTAATCAAAAGTTAAAAATAGAGATATATCACTAAAATAACCAAATAAATATCAATGAATACGTTAACCTAACATTCAAATCATGTATGTAATTTTTTTCTTAAATAACTATAAAATTTGTCGCGTTTCGGTACACATCCATGTAAGTGATACTGTTGCAGTATATTATCTGCTTCTACTGAAAACAAAAGGTAATGTCCTCAACGACCGAAGTTAACGAGATAGTTAATAATAGATGCTCTACTTCGCAAATGGCTTTAAAGAAAAGAAACCAATCAATAGATTACTGGGGATGGATGTTGACCTCCAGTGAGCTTCCGCAACTAGCTGGAGATACAGACTGTAGAGCACGGCCATTTCTTTCAACTGATCGACGGTGTTGCATCACTGATGCTGCAATATGGCTCCTCGGGTACTTGCACTTGCTGGCTGACATTAAATTCAGGGCAAAACATTAAAATTATAAATACAAGTACACAAGGCTATGCATCCGTTTGATTAAACAAGGGTTCCTTAACCGGAATATGATCGACAAGGCAGGTTTTAGAGATGAGAAATCGATAATCAGTTTGCAAGAAACTGGCAATGTATATCAATCAAACAATAAAACCAGTAAAAGAATCACGCAAAGCACAAAATTCTAAGCAAATGAACTCAGCAATCAAGCAGCAAAGAAAGCAATTTTCTGTTCCTTTTGACACTCATTAATCCAAAGAGATGGCTTTCAGTTCAAACTAGCCATAGATAAGCAGGAACTAGAACTTAAAGAAGAAAAAAGAAGAAAGAAAAGCAAGCATGTTTACCCTACACCAACGTGTGCACTCCACAGAAGCAACAGGAAAAAAAAACAGACATGAAACACCAAAGAATCTCGACAATTGTGTTGAAAAAGAGGCAAAGCTTCAGCGTTCACAACAAAGAAGCAGATGAAAGAAAAAGGAGTTAAGGAAGAGTTAAGACAAACAGAGAACAAGGAACACCAAGACAAGGGACCGCAAAGCAACCAAAACAATTAGAATCTAGAAAAAGCAAAACCCTTTTCTTTCTCTAACAAATAAACAATTGACCACCCCCACTTAAACTCAAAACTCGAAGCCCAAAGAACCGCCAAAGCTTAAAACTTTAAGAAAAAACAACAAATGGTAAGAAAAGCAAACGCCGTACCTGATCCAGGGGGTATGAGGAAGATCAACAGCAGAAACAAAACCCTTGTCCTTAAAATGGTGTAGGCGAAGCTTGGTAACTCCTATGCGCATACTGGGAAGTGGGTAATGAGGGTGAAGTTCCCAAAGATTAGCACAGAGTTTTCTGGCAGAAATAGAATGTCCAGTGGGCATAGTGGCATTTTGAGAAGACAAGTCGAGTCTCCAAGTGGGAGAAGGAGTAGAGGGGCCAGCTCTTTTCCCTACCAGGATCCCGCCTTTCAACTTTTTCACCATTAAAACTCGATCTTCTCCTTCACTCTTTTCTTTTCTATCCATCACCTCTCTTTCTCCCTCTCTGTGGTTTCAAAATTTCAAACTTCTTCACTAATTCTACTTAGTATTATTGACTTTTTTTCGCTCGCGTTCTTCTCTGCTTTGTGGTCAGCCTCCGAAGACTCGAACTTTCTTTGCTTCTTGTTGTGGGCATATGCGGCCCTTTGTTTTCTTCTTTTGTTTTGTTTTCTTCTTTTGTCTATCTGTCTTTCACCCGTCTAATTTGCTCCTTAATTTAGGACTAACATCACTGTCTACTCATTGCCTTTGGATTCCCTTAATTCACATATCTATAGAATATACCTATATCGCTTGAGCTAGACAAATATACAAGGAGGCAAAGCCGAAAGTTAAGAAAACAGTGGCTAAAGCAAAAGATAAGACATACGAGGAATTGTACAAGAGATTAGACACCAAGGAAGGACAAAACGGTATCTTCAGGCTTGCAAAATCCAGAGAGAATAAGAAAAAAGGATCTAGGTAGCATTAGGTTTATGAGGACAACAATGGTGTTCTTTTAGTGAAAGATCATGATATTAAGAGAATTTGGGGTAGTTACTTCTATGGCTTATATAATGACGGTGCCTCTACCTGTAGAGATAGTACCGTTGATGGGTCAGATGACCATCATACTACAACCAATGACTATCATACAAGTAGGATTGGGATTGAGGAAGTCAAAATGGCTCTTAAAAAGATGGGGAGGGACAAAGCTGTCGGTCTAGATAAAATTCATATCACTGTGTGGTTGACCCTAGGAGAAGAGGGAGTAAAGTGGTTGACCAACATCTTTAATATTATTTTAGAGACTGTCGAGATGCCAGGAGTGGAGAGAGTCTACGGTGATTCCAATATAAGAATAAAGGAGATCCCCAATGTTGTGGTAACTACAGAGGTATTAAACTACTCAGTCATACCATGAAGCTATGGGAAAGAGTGATAGAGGCTAGGTTGAGACAAGTTACTAGGGTTTCGGAAAACCAATTTGGCTTTATGCCCGGCAGGTCTATTACGGAGGCGATTCATCTACTTTGACGGCTTATAGAGAAATATAGGGAAATAAATAGAGATCTTCACATGGCGTTCATTGACCTTGAGAAGGCGTTTGATAGCGTTCCCCGTGATACGATCTGGAAGACCTTGGAAACGAGACGGATCCCAAATGCTTATATCCGGGCGATTCGTGATATGTACTGTAGATTTACTACATACGTCAGGACTACAATTGGCGACACCGAGGCTTTTCCGGTGTATGCTTTGATTATGGATGACATCTCTTGTGCGACACCAGACGGTGTTCCATGGTGTATGTTTTTCGCTGACGACATTGTCCTAGTTGCTGAGACAAAAACTGAGCTGAATAGTAGACTGGCGACCTGGAAGACTGCTTTGGAAGAAAAAGGTCTAAGGATCAATATGAAAAAGACATAGTATTTATGTTCAAACTTTGGTGGGAACCAAAACGAGGAAGATGTAGAAGTATGCATAGAAGGATACGTTCTCCCCTCAAAGGATTGTTTCAAGTACCTAGGGTCTACGATTCACAAAGATGGGCTATAGATGATGACGTTACACACCGTATTAAGGAGGGATGGCTAAAGTGGAGGGCTGCTACTGGAGTTTTGTGTGACAAGAAGATGCCTCTAAAACTTAAGGGAAAATTTTATAGAATGGCAATAAGACCAGCGATGTTGTACGGATCAGAATGTTGGGCAATCAAGAAGGATCACGTAAGGAGGATGGAGGCCACAGAAATGAGAATGCTGCGATGGGCATGTGGTCGGACTCTGTGGGACATGACACCAAACTCTACAATTAGGATGCCATTGGGGGTGGTGTCTGTATCCGAAAAATTGAGGGAGGGAAGACTATGGTGGTTTGAACATGTCCTTAGGCGACAACCGTCGGATGCGGTCAAGAGGGTAGAGTCGATTACAGCCGACGGTGTCATAAGGAGAGGTCGACCAAGGAGGAAGTGAGTAGACTGCTTGAGATCTGATTTGAAGGATTTAGCCCTTACCAAGGACATGACCTCTGATAGGAAATTATGGAGACTTAAGACCAGGATAACCTAGTAGTGTGGGTCATAGCCATAGGGTGTAGCATCTCTGTCTTCTTTTTAATGCCTTTGTAGTAATTTCCATGATTTCTATTTATACGTTTCTGTCATTGGAATCTATGAAGGCTTAGAACTAGGGTAGCGGATTAGTGTTGTCTTAGTTTAGGTTTTAAACCCATTTGATTTTTTCCCTTCTCGTAGGTTGCTATCGATGACTTCTGTGTATCATTCTCTTCATGTTTCCTCTTTTTAAATTTAGTCGGGTCTTAAGTTTTCTGCCTATATGCAGAGATTTTTTTTTACGCAGGGATTTATTTGCAGGGAATACTTCCCATTACAAACGCACATATGAAGACTGCAAAAGAAGACTGTTCAACTATGTATTTATTTATTTATACATGCATTGTATTTTATCTTTATTTTTAATTTTCTAATTGTCGGAGGTCTCCACGGAAGCTGCTCTTAACTTGGAGTTGGGGGCAGCCTATTACCCTACCTCCCCCTTACCCCATTACATATGGGAATAGGGTTTTGTTATTGTTGTTGTATGAGTTTAAACACGGTTTAATTATAAAATAAGTGTTCAAACTACATTGATTTTTCTAAATCGAAACCCAAATTTTTTTTGGAATCATTTATATGTCTAATGTTACATATGTTATCATTTTAGGTGCTCGAATCGTAATTGTCGTTAAAGGACACATGTCACATTCTAGTCATTTTAAAAATTTTATTTAAAATTCAAAAATTAAAATTATATTTTAAAAAACACAAATTTTTTTAAATACTTTAAAAGAAGTTTCAACTTTGAAAATCTTTCATTTCAACCCCTAAACCTATGTCGACCACCTCTCTTTAACGTCGACGAAGCTCCATCCTATCTCACCTCTACCCTACAATCGATAACCTTATGAAATCGCGATCAATCAACGTTTGTACCCGGCGAACCCTACGCAACAAATCGTGATCACACAAGATCCCGACGACCAAACGACGGCAAGTTTGACAACATATGACTAGGAATATGAAAAAGACTATGTTGGCGACTGTGGTCATGGGTGGTAAAGACGATGTTGGTAGACTAATATTACAAATTTAGGATTTTTAGGGATTTAGGTTTTTTATAATTTAAGAGATATTAAGATTTTCTATAAAAATAAATATTTTTTTTTAAAAATAATTTTTTAAAATTATCAGAACATGACACGTGTCACTTGATTGAGAAATTTAAAGGCAGTTACAGCCCAGACACCTAAAATGGTAAACGTTTAACACCTAGATTATTTTAAAAAAATTTGGACACCTATTTGAAAAGGCGGTATAATTTAAACACTTTTTTTATAATTAAGCCTTTAAATATTTAGTAATTAAAATTAATTTTAAATTCAGTTTTTGAATAATTCATTTATAAAAATATATAGAGTAAATTACACTCATGCCCACTTAACTTTAGAGAGATTTTAATTTGACCATCAATCTTTTAATTTTGTCAATTAAACTACTTAACTATTTAAAATAATGTTAATCAAGCCACATGTCGTTAAAGTTTAACGAAAGAGCTTATGTGGTAGTTAACAAGATTGATATATTTACACATTTGATTCTCAATACTTATATTAATTTGATCCTAATTTTGACTTGATTCAATAAATCTAATCTTAGTGACATGTGTCACCATCTGGATGGAGAAAAAATAAATTACAAAAAAGTGGGTTGTGGGGGAGGAAATATTCATGGGAAAGAATGAAAGGCTAAATCAAAAGTCGGGAGAAACGTAGAACAAAGAGGAAGATGATGAAAGAAGTATAGAATGCGGGCTTAGTAAATTAAACAAACACCTTATTTATAATATGCATGCATATCCTACATTGTTTACAAGCTTTGCATGCTAGATTTCGTTTTCACCATAATTTAATATTGTGGAGAAACAAGATGACAGCACAAGGAGATGGACCACTTGAAAAAGTTGTTCCATCTTTTATCTTAATCGAATGTGGTCCTGATTAAAGCTCACCCAGGCCAGTCTTACTTTATCATAATACAACACTCCACAATTAATGATAAAAAAAATCCCTCCTCGCCTTCACCAAAACAAGGAGATGCCATCATTCGTCTCATTTATATATAGTCACCCGATGACATAACATGAATCAATGAAAAATGGATGTCCCTTGTTCCCATATGTAATGGGGTAAGAGGGAGGTAAGATAATAGGCTGCCCCCAACACCAGGTTGAGAGCAGCTTCCGTAGAAGACCTCCGAATTATGAAATGCATGATTGTTATTCCTTGCAAGACCATCATCTGCAACCTGCGAAACAAAATACGAGTTCGTTGACTTTAGCTCGGTTAGACTTTGTGAATTTAATGGTGGGTCTTCAGAAAACAGTTTCGAATGCTCTACTTCAAATTTTCAAATATTTTGGATACCTAAATACTTTTTTTAGAAAATAGGAAGCTAAATTAACATTTTTATAAACTTTTAATGGCCTAAATAGTAAGTTAACAACTTTAAGATAGTCAGTGATTACGATTAAGTTAGTTTGGGCTTTTGAGGAACAAGTTGTCACATAAGTTGGTCCAATGTTCTCTCATTCCTTTCCATTTGGACCTGTAATTTTCCACATAAGTTGTATTACTGTAATACCTTAATCCCTTGTTCTAACATTGTTAGTTTTCAACTTAGAGGACCAATAAAAATGCCACGTTGAATATTTTTAATAAATTAAAATAACTCCTTTTTGTGTATTTTAAGGAAAGGGCAGAAGAACTTCCGCTTTGCAATAATCCACGACAGAATCAAGTGTAATGCAATGGCCATAGCCAGCTTCGTTTCTGCACAAATACACCGTTAACAGTTGATAGCAATCCACAGATATGCCGTTAGCTTTCATATTTGCTTAAACGAAGGTTCAATGTTCAAAATTAACGAAAAATGGGGATGAGAAAATATTCCGAAAATGGATAATCGAAGCATCAAACTTGTATTTATGTATGGAGTATCCATTTTCATAAATGAGCAGGCTTTACCTGCTTTACAAGCTGTGATCTTTTCTTCTTTTAGTTTTTTTTTGCTACTGCAGTGGTATCATAATTATTGAAAATGAAGGCCAAATGAGAAAAAAAAGGAAGGAATGGTGAGAATTTGGGACGAATTTGATCAATGAGCACCCCTGAAATCCAATCGTAAATAAATTAAGGAGCGAATTCAAGTCTCGGTTCGAAGCAAAAACCAGTGAAGAGCTGAAGGGGGAATTTCTTCGACACCGGACACTTTTGCGCCCATTTCCATAGTTTCAGGTTCATGTCGAAAACAAGAAGTGCCGGACCACCGTAGCTCTGGATATATATGAGATCGCCGGTACCACTACTAGCGAAAACATCATCCAACTCGCCGAATCCTTGAAAATACTTATGGGGCACGCGAGCAACCTCAACCCAATTCCTCCCTCCAAGAACCCAGATTCCGATCCCCCTGATTATACCAGGCCGATCTTGCTTCCCGATGCCTCCGACCATCACCAGCTTTTCCTTTAGGTTCATCAGACGACCACAAGTAAGAGGGGCAGGTACCGGAATAAAACTCCTAATCAATGGAGATGGTCGACTAGAGAGATTATATGCAACTAGGCCATGTCGATTCTCTCCTTCTCCAACTCCACTTGAGTAAACCAAAAAGTATAAAATCCCAGCACATATCACGCTTTCGTCTCCACCTCTCCATCCAGTCAATATCTCGGTCAAGGAGGTCGTCCACATCATTGTCTTCGAATCATAAATATGAATCGAAACGTCCCATTGGAAAAAATTAACAGGCACTTGTTTGGACTTCACAATGGATACAGTATAATGGTGTGATGTCCTATTTACTGAGATGGACATTGAACTATAATCGGGGAATTTCATACCAGGGGGATTCTCGAGCTTGTTGCAATGTTTGGTGATTGGATTGCAGACATGCATATCATTTCTACTGTCATTGTTCATAAAACAAACCAAGCCACATGATGAAGCAATGAACCAGTTAGGAGTTTGAATGCAAGGCAGTTCAATGCTGTACCACTTCCGAAGGATCGGATCATAGGTAAAACCAACCGGTTCATCACAACTAGTGAACATGAAATACCAAGGCTTTTGCAATAGGACATTGGGAACGTTCCATAGGAACCGTCTGGAACTGACGATCTCATGCCATCTTCTACACACAGAACCAGCTCGGAAAATGCTAGCAATGGGGAGATAAGCCAAGATTCGTTCCAACAACTCATCAGGTAGGATAGAGTCTATAGAAACTACAGTCGTTTCTTTGTTACCTTCATCGCTAAGTTCCAAGTACGTATCTCGGGCACCGATTCCTTTCGACATGTCATCAAAGCAATGACTGATCCATGAAGTCTCACCGTTCATGATGAACAGCAGCTAACGCAAACTCCTGAGAACTCGACAAAAAAAGATGGATTTTTTTCACAAAATCAAACCAAACAGAGAAAGATAAACTAAATGGGGATCTATCACCTCAGAACACAATCAATCATGAAGAAATATGAAAACACTTGAGGCTTCTCCAAATACAAGTCAAACAACCTGAACACATTACAGATTTCTATTACAAAGGCATGGTAAATCAAAAAATTGAAGGCATGTAATCATCAATATGAAAGCTATACAAAAGAATTAAGGAAACAAATCAGCCAACATGTTAAATCAATGTTACCCCAAAAGGAGGACAATGCCGGAATTCTGATCTCTAAGAGGGAGAAAACATCAAAGACTGGAAATTTAATCAAACCCCCGTTTATAAATTTGAAAAGATCTTATCATTGTATATATCCAGAAGCGAAATCATTGATTAAAGGAGAAAAGCATTTAGAGAGAGTAGCCAGATTTCTTTCCAGAGCAAGAGTGTTTTAATCCAAAACAAGCTGTCTTCTTTTTCAGCTAAATAAACAACCTTTCATGGATTTAGCAACCCCCAAAAAATATAAGAATCAAACACGTTTTGAGAATAAATAAAATAATGTTAGGTGGAAAAGGAGAATGATTAGGCCATCCTTACCTATCAATCAAACATCGGATGAGAAAACCCCACAAAACTAAAGAAGGAAAAAAATCAATAAGCACCACCAACTAAAACGAAACATCGTTAGATTAAAGGCAGACAAACGGATCAAATAAAATAAATGATAACTTTCCAGGAAAATAAACATATCCACGAACCTGTAATGATGTTGATTCTGAGATAGCTGAAGAAATGGGTGTTGGCAGATCCAGACGAAGTTTCAATCGTTACCAGGAAACTCAAAAAAATAAAAAAGTTTTTTTTTTGTATAAAAAACAGATTATTGAAAGAGAACAAGAAAGGGTCACTGTTAATTTGGATGACAATCAAATTCCCAAGAAAAATCCATAGTAGAAAAATGGGTGTTTCACCGTTTGCAGCAAAACAAGACGGAAAAAACGATAGACAAAATGAAGAGAGAAGGCGGTTTTTGTAAAGCGTGGTTGTGTTCATGAATAACAGAGCAGCGACAGAGAAAGTAAACAAAATAAACGAAAGGAGAGAGAAAGAGCGCGTGGAATCGTGGCGCGTGCTCTACTTTTTTATTTGCTTTGGGATATTTTTATTAATATTTATGATTATAAATAGTATCAAAGAAAAAAATATTAATACGTTGAATACGTAATTTGATAAGGATAACTGAATCATTTATTTTAGGAAATAAAATAAAATTTTGTAACAGTAATTTTTTAACGATCACTGATTTTTTATATTAATTTTTAAAAAAAATCTAAACTGAATTAATTTTTTAATACTAATTAATTTATAATACACCCCTTAATGAAATAGACAAAGAAAATGAGATGAAAAAATATATTTAATAATGGAATCAAATCAAACATTAAAAAGAAATAAATTATTTAATTATAAAAGTTCAATGAATATTAAATATTTAATTTTGTTTCTGTTGTGGAAACTGAAAAAAAAAGGGTTGGGAGTAGGGATAGCAACTCAACCCGAATCCGACGGGTTCCGACCCGACCCGACCCGATCGGGTCGGATTTTTTTAAAACAAATTCGGATTCGGGTCGGGTCGGATTTTTTTTTAAATGCATTGTTCGGGTCGGGTCGGGTCGGGTTTATGGTAAAAAAATCCGACCCGACCCGACCCGAAAAATATATAATTTTATCTTATATATTTAGGGATAATTACAATAATATCCCTCCATATATAATTTTTTTCAATTAAGTCACTGTTTTCATTAAATTAATTTTTTTATTATTATTTCAGGTCGGGTCGGGTCGGGTTTCTAAGTCATATATTCGGGTCGGTGAAACATTAATTTTGTCGGGTCGAGTCGGGTCACGGGTGGAGAACCCTTTCTTCTCGGATCAGGTCGGATGATCTAAAAACCCGACCCATTGCCATCCCTAGTTGGGAGTGGCATCACCACTTTCCAGCCAAGCATTTTTGTGCACATCAACTCATTTCTCACTTACAGTATTGACATAACATTATTTTAATGAACGGTCTCCCTTTTTAATTCAAACAGAGATATTAATTTATATACCAAATAATATACTAATGGAACACCAAAGTCAAAGACAGGGAGTGGGAAAAGATCGTAACCGAACATTGAAAACAATGTCGGCCAGTCGGTCTAATTATTAATGATGATTATAATCCGTGGGATATTATTTGATGTTGTTAAGAAACCAAACTATGCTCATTAAAAGATCATTTTCACTTCAAATGTATGTTGTGTAAGCTAATACGGGGTTGTTGATTTTCTTACGTTTCGGTCGATGAATTCGGGGTGAGAATTAAAAAACAAAAGTGCAAGTCAAATTAGGGTTGCCATAATATTATTTTATGTGATAATTTTTTTGAATTAATCATTAATATCCGATTTATTGATTGACTAATCCAGTTCGAATACTACATAGATAAAAACGATTTTTCTAATTTAATTTGTTCCATTCGTAAACATCATGATTCAAACTCTCGACATTAATCGTATTTGTAGATAAAAATAACAAACAAGAAATATTTAATAAATTTATTTATTTTTTAAATATTTTGAATCACGTTAAATATTTGTTTTAATAAAGTTTTTCTTATTAAAACAATGAGGGGCAACAGCCATTAGCCAACAGTATACGACAAAGGTCTGAAATGTGGAAGATGCGTGGTAGTGTTTTAACAGGCTTTTTCATCGGGGGCGTGCCGCGTGCGGGCAGCCCCCAAGCTCACCGCCCATTGGTTGGTTCAATTTGCGGAAATCACACATATATCGTAGAGATGTAACCATATACATATGTTCACATGATGACATTAATTAGACGTTTATACGAAATATTAGTTTCTTGTGAGGTGTAAATTAATCGAGTTGTTTATTTATTTTTAATTTGATGTTCAATTTGTATAATTTATTAATATCGTGTTTGTTTAATTATTTTGAAAGTATCCGTATTCGTTTATTTATTATTAACAAACGTATTTGTTTATATGTTTAATAATATGTTAGTTCAACGTTCGTTTAATGTTCATTTATATGTTCACAAACATGTTAATGAACATATTCGTTTAATGTTTATATATTTAATTTTTTATTTTCATTTACAATCTAAAGAAAAATGATAAAATTATGCCATTGTGTGCTTAAACTCTATAGTTTAAAATTCAACTTTTATCATATGTTCAATTTAATTAATATTTTCATCAATATTTAAAGTGTAAAAAGGTAAAAATAAAAGGATAATTAAGTAAACGAACTTGTTCATTAATAAAAATGAACGACTCGATAAATGAGTTTATAAATGAGTTCATAAAAAGCTTGTTCGCGAACATAAATGAATAAAATACACATCTTGTCATGTTTGTCCATTTATTAAATGAAAATATTTTTCATATTCGTTTATTTAACTTAAAAACGAACATAAACGAACATTATACGAACAATTCATAAATAATTCACCAAAATCTACAAGCCTAGTCTTTCTTTATTTTTGCTTTCCTTTTACCTGACTGCTTTAAATGCTTTTATGTTGGATCACAATTGAGGACAGTTACTTGAACAAGTGAGTACTGATTTTCCTTCGGTTCCAAGCATAAATGTTCGTAATTTAATTCCAACGTGTGGTGGGGCAAACCAGATTTTTCATAAACGAGGTTCGGTGGAAATAAAATTATTTTATTTTGGATTTAAAATAAAATAAAATATTAAATCTAAATACAATAGTGCTCGATAATTTGTGGACCAAATTTAACAAACATTTAATTGATGGGGAAGATATGCACTACTGTACTTCTCGAATTCGATGACATAAATTCCACTGTTACCCGAGACCTTCTCCTTACCGACAATGATATTGACTCAGTCTAAGAAATATATAATTAAGTACATATTAATGATATTCAGTTGTCCCACTTTCTTTAATATATATAAACTGTTTACATTTCAACCTATCATCTACTTTGAAAATTATAGGGGAGGAATAGTATGGTTTTAAATAATACCTTAGAAATAGTATGGGTTTTATTACTATGAAATAATAATAATTGAAGTTGTAGTTTTCAATGTTGGAAAAATAAGAGATTTTATTGATGATATATGATTTTTTTATTTTTATTTTAGATGAAGAGTCATTAGCTCAAATATATAAATTTAAATAGAGAGAAGAAATGATTTAAGATCATCAAATGATGTTAACGAGTGTTGATGCAAGTAGTTGGAGTTTAAAAATTTGAACTTATAAGGTTAAGTTCGAAATCTATCAATGTTATTCTTGGTGGGCAATATGTAAATTCCAATTATATTTTAGGTATGTTCTTACCATGAAATGGGAGAGTCACCCATAACTTAAACTTTCTTGTAAAAAAATCATCAAAATGATTTAAATAATTTCTATCCTATAGAAGTTATATTATATTCGATATTTAATTTGTAGGGTGAGATAGAATTTTTAAAAAATAATTAGACTTAATATGTGAATTCATCAAATACTATAAATAATTAGTCATGTAATATATTATAAATTATATTACAATTAAATCTCTTTAAAATAACCTAGAATATAACATTTTTTCCTTTTTCTTATAAAAAAATATCTTAAATTATTAAAATTTAATAATTACATTTTTCTAAAAAAATCCAACACTAACTCATGTGGATATATATATTTTTTTGTAAGTGGAATGTTGGTTTGTCATGGAGCAACATCATAACGTTTCATGGGATTACCAGTACCTTCCAAAAAAACAAGTCATTCTAGAGAACATTCATTCGCGTAATACTTTATCCGTAAAGCAACGGAGTTTAATTCAGAAGGGAGTGATGAACAGTAAGCAGCATCAAGAAAGATACGAACACAGATGGATTGACGCAAGATCCGGAGGCAGCGCCGTAGCCACAGTTCCCATAGATCAACAAAAGAAAATAAATTTTGCAATTTCCCCATATCGGATTGGTTGCTCGGACCCTTCATCAGTCGGTTCTGCCTAAATAATTCTGCTGTTGTTTCGCATCTGTTTAGAAGACTCGAATCAATCAGAACCCCACCCACATCGTAGTACGTGCTGTACAAATGGTTTAGGCCGCCCTTTTGCGACCTTGATACTTCCATTCCCAGTTATAATAAAATTTTGCATCTGTCACTAGTTTTATCCGAGTTGATAAAATGTTTGTTGTTCATTTACTGCCTGCCTACACGTCGACACCTGCCTTTTCTTGTTATTGGTGCAAACTGAGATCTACTGCGGCTGCACCAACGCCGAGAGAGAAAGGAACAAGCTGTGGGCCATTACTTTAAGGCTATCACCGTAAACCCAAAACCCGACAGGCAACAACTACGCTCGCCCAATTCGTGAGCTGCTCTATAACCGTCTCTTCGGATTAGAAAAGGGAAAATTAGAAAGGGTTTAATTGTGCTCAAGTCATTGTACTCTCTGGACTTTTGAAATTTAATCATCCTGCCTATTTTAGTTCCATTCTATGACATATTCAAATTCAACAAAACTCGAGTGATATTGTTAACGATTGAAATCCAATTTTAAATCAAATACATTAAAAAGAATCATTTATTGGAATTGGGAGTAGAGGGGTTTTATTTCAAATGTCCAAAAAAGTATAGGAATGGATCACGATTAGACCTTTACATACAA